GTGTGTGTGTGTGTGTGTGTGTGTGTGTGTGTGTGTGTGTGTGTGTGTTATATCTGTGGTGCATGTGTGTGTATGCATATGTGATTTTTGTGTTTGTGTATGTGTGATTTTTATGTGCTGTGGTTTGTGTGTGGTGTGTAACGTATGGTGTATATAGTATGTGTATGTGGTATATATGTATGTGTGTGCAGTGTGTTAGTGTGTGGTTTGTGTGTGTGTGTGTTGTGTGCTGGGTTTCTGTGTGTGCAGTGTGGGTGTATATAGTATGTGTGTGGTGTATGTGTATGTGTGCAGTCTGTAGTGTGTGTTTAGTGTATGTGTGTGTGTCTGTGCGTGTGGTATGGTTTGTCTGTGTGGTATGTATGTGTGTGGTGTATGTATATGTTGGTGGTTTGTCTGTGTGGCTTTTGTCTGTATACATGCATGTGTGGTGCGTGTATAGTGTATATTGTGGTATATGTGTGGAAGTGGGGGTGTAGAGTGTGGTTATGTATGGTATATGTGTTATATATAATGTGTGTAGTATATATGGTGTAGTATGTAGTGTATGTGTGTATGTGTGTAGTCTGTGGAGTATATGTGGTATGGACGTATGATGTGTGTATGTGTGTAGTGTGTGGAGTGTATGTGTGATGTGTGTATGTGTGTAGTATGTGGAGTATATGTGGTATGGATGTGGTGTGTGTGTGTATGTGTGTGTGTGTGCGCACGCACGCGCTCGCACATTGAAATTGTATGCATCTTGGAATCCAGCCTGAAGGAAATGCTTGTTCCAGACTCATGTCAGACACTGCATGATTTTGTGACTTAGGAAACCAATTCCACCTCTCCACCCCCAGTTTACTCATGGGTGTAATAGAGACCTGCCAAGCACCCCCCGGGGAGGAGCACCCCCCGGGGAGGAGCACCCCCCGAGGAGGAGCACCCCCCGGGGAGGAGCAGTGAGCACATAAGTGTAAAAGTGAACGGGTGGGTGGATGAAGGAATAGGTGACAAGGGTCAGTGGGGAGTCTAGGGGCTGGTGTGGGGACAGTTAAATCTGCAGGGGCTCCTGGCTTTTGACTGGCAGGACTGTCTCCAGACGACAGAGGGCACTGCTGCGGTGAAGCAGAAGGTGGGTTCTTGCGATGCGGTGCCTAGTGGCTCTACGAAAGAGGCAAGGGTGGCGTGTAGCGCAGTCAGTCAGGTGCTTCCTATCATGAGCAGAGTCCTGGGGCGATCGCCAGAACTATGTAACTGGCCATGGCTGTGCACACCTGTAAGTCTAACATACAAGAAGTGGAGAAAAGAGCCAGGCAGTGGTAGCACATGCCTTTAATCCCAGCACTTGGGAGGCAGAGGCAGGCAGATTTCTGAGTTCGAGGCCAGCTAGTCTACACAGTGAGTTCCAGGACAGCCAGGGCTATACAAAGAAACTCTGTCTTGGGAAAAAAAAAATCAGCCACTGATTTAAGAACAGAAATTAGGGACAAAAACATGGCTCAACCAGTAGAGATGCTTCCTGGTTTTCTAAGTTGATTACCTGAGTTTAATCCTGGAGCATCGCATAGTGGAAGAAGAGAAAGATTTCTGTGGGTTGTCCTCTGACCTCCATAGCATGATGTGTCATTTGTACACACATATGTGCACACACATACACTTAGGTGGACTGTAAAAAATTTGTCAGAGAGCAGAGGTCACCTGGGTAGACATCCATTATGACTTGCAGAACAGAGACCTTGACAAGACTTCTATCTCTGCCACCACTAGTCAGACCATGACAACTTGAGGTGAGACCCCAGAAGTGGGCAGTAAAACCACATGCTTTCCCAGTGGCTTCTCTACAACAATGTTTCATACTTTGGGGTTTGTTTGTTTTGCTTTTTTGAGACAGGGTTTCTCTGTGTAGCCCTGGCTGTCCTAGAACTCACTCTGTAGACCAGGCTGGCCTCGAACTCAGAAATCCGCCTGCCTCTGCCTCCCGAGTGCTGGGATTAAAGGCGTGCGCCACCACCGCCCCCACTACATTTCATGTTTTAAATTCTCCTTATGACAGTAATCAATGTCTCTCCCAGGAAGAAAAAGAGGAACTGGCCATGGCAGCTCACACTTGTGAGCCCAGCACTGTCCCAGATTCCCATCCTGGGGAACTGTTCTAGTTTCTTTTCTCTTGTGATCACACAGTTGAGAGAAGAAAAGGGTTTATTCAGCTTATAATTCCAGGTCCAATCCATCACTGGGTGAGGTCAAGGCAGGATCAAAACAGGAACTTGAGGGCAAGGTTTCTCATGGCACCCCTTCTGACCAAGGGAATCACTTCACAGCTAAAGAAATACAGCAGAGGCCATGGAAGATTGTGGAGGCTGCTCTGTTGCTATGTACTGGAATGCTAAATTCTCTACTGAAGGTCTAGGCCCACAAGTGAATTCTCGGTTATCAGCTTTTTGTGCAGACCTTGTTCATTAGTTTAAAACTACTGGTTAAATACAAATGGCTACAGCCACTGTCCTGGACATCATCAGAGAGCAGCAGCCATGGCCCTGCGCTTCCCCATGGCCACGGGCTTCAACAAGGCCCACACATCAGCAAGCTGAGGCTCAGATGGCTCTGAGGGAGCCTCACAAGTGCACCAAGTTCTTGCGGGACATGATCAGGGAAGTGTTGGGCTTTGCGCCCTACATACGAGCAATAGCGCGTCATGGAGTTATCCAAGATGTCCAAGGACAAGCGTGCACTCAAGTTCTTCTAGAAGAGGGTGGGCACACACATCTGTGCCAAGAGGAAGGGAAAGGAGCTGAGCAGCGTGCTGGCAGCTGTGAGGAAGGTGACAGCTAAGAAGGACTGACGAACCAACCATCCCCCAATAAATGACTGATCTCGCACCAAAGGAAAGAAAAGAAAATGACTATAGCCAACTACTGGAGGGGTTAGAGCTAGGCGGGCTTTTGACTTACCTGGTTGAGAAAGAGAGGAAGAGGAGGAGAGAGAAGGCTCCCATGAGAGCAGACAGACCATGAGCACACTGCCAGAAGAAACAGCAAGTATCTGGGGTACACCACTGGGGAGGTAGCCAGGCCAACAGTAGAAAAGTAAATTACGGGTGACCCCCAGTAATTGTCAAAGACAAATAAAATAACCATAGTCTGGGTCTCATTTATTTGTAAACTAGTCGGGGAGAAGTGGTTGTACTACAGAGGGCGATGCTCCTGCCCCCTTCCTCACAGGCTCACCTCAGCTTGCTTCCTTACATAGCCTAGGACCCAGGGTATGGTGCCTCCCACAGCAGGCTGGCCCTTTTGTACCAATTAACAATACAGGTAATTCTCCACAGACGTGGCCACAGGCTAGTATGATCGCACCATTTCTTCAGCTGATGCTCTCCTCTTAAGTGCTATATCTTGCTGACAACGATTTGGCTGAATCCCAGAGAATACTACCTCAGGTACCTTGTCCTAGAAATTTGCCCTAGGAATTCCTATAGGCCTCACTGAGGCTGTTCCTGAGTTGAGACAGATTGAACTCTGAGACGTCCTCCACAGACCCCTGACTAGAAAGGAGGCTCTTGGAATCCTCTAACCTCTTGCTTACTAGGGTCTCTACCAGATGAGCCCATTTGCTGTGTGGCCTCAGACCAGTGGCTGACCCTCTCTGGGCCTAGTTTCTGGCTGAGAGCTACAAGCTCAGCTCCAGCTCAGCCCTACATGACAGCCGCTCTGCCTGTGCACCCGTCTGGCTCAGTTCCAGACATTAACACAGCAGAGCTGTCACATGCTGATCCACGTGACAAGCGGCGGCTGGGGGCTCCATCCCACGCAGAAGACAAGGCCCTCAGTGGCCCCTCAGCTATACATCTACCCCCAGCTAGCTGCATCCTGCAGGTCTGTCAGCGGGGCGTGGGTCTGAAGGCCTCTCTTGCCCTCCCAGGTAGGCTGGGGAGCGGGGTGAGGCGGTGAAGAGCATCTCCCAGGTGCCAGGTCGGCACAGAGGCCCTGGCCAGCAACCTCCAGGCTGGCCCAGGGCACCTGCAGGGAAAGACACTGAACGGTGGCCCAGGGCAGAGAGACAAAAGATGTTTCTCTCTCCCCCACACATACATAATCCAATCGCCAGCCTATCTGCCCCAGCTGCTGCTCAGAATCATCCCCCTTTGTGCTGGCTCCCACAGGTGTCCCTGGAGTGGAGCCGGGAACAGCTCTGCACCTGCAGAGAAGCAGGACCCCAGGGGCCACCTCAGCAACACAAGGTAGCAGGCAAAGGTGATGTCTTTGGGCAAGAGACACGGCCCCAGCTCCATAGTTATAGGTTACCATGCACATCCTATGTGGCCAAGACCTGTCCCTTCTCTGGTCCCATTTTCTCACTGTAGAATGTGAGGTTTGGAGTTGACAAGTCTGTGAGTGGGCTTCAGCTGCCAGAGAACCTGCTCCTGAGACAGTATTTTTGAACTCTGGGTCTGGCCTCTCCTTTTAACAGATGGGAAAACTGAGACTGAGAGTAGCCGAGGCTAGTTGGGGTGTAACGTCTTTCTTGATATTCCAGCCCTCTTTGTCCCCCCTTCACACCGAAGTTCCTAGGCTGCAAACACTCCCACATCAGCCTTCCCTTCCTCCCCGTCCACTACCCCATCAATGCTCAGAAGTGCTGTAACTCTGAACTGGTGCCTTTCTCTGGGCCCTGCCTCCTTTTCTGCAGTCTGAGAGAGTATCTCTAAACCTCTATGAGATAGACGTTGTGGTAAAATCCCAGCTAGCAGCTTCCACCTGGCTTGGAGCCAAGGTCAGGCACTAGGCCAGGGCGGCCCCGCCCCAGGGGCCGGCATTGTTGGACCTTGCATAAGGGCAGGGTGCCAGGCAGAGCCGGACAGCCAGGAAGCAGTGCAGCTTCGCGAAGCCTCAGGTACTGTATCCCGGGAAGATGGGAGTAGAACTGTTATTGATCTGTTCCAGCTCCTCTGGGTTGCCAAACTTCCTGTCTTGTCTGGTAACTGGTGGTTTCACACACAGGCGGCCTGTGTCTTCCAGGCCCTATCTGCCTGAAGCTTGAGGAGAAAAGGGAAGGAAGACACTGAGGGGGAGGGCTGAGAGGCTCGGAGTGCAGGGCCCAGCTAGCACTGGGCTCTCCAGCCCTTCCTCTCCTGGGGGACTGAACATCCTGTGAGGGGGATGAGGGACATGGCTGGCACAGGGCAGTGCACGGCTCCTGAACCCTGAAGGTCCATTCAGATGCTAGCTGTTTCCAAGGCACTACTACCAGGCAGGCCTGGCTAGTTGGAGAGACTCCAAGGATCATAGGGAAAACTCTTCCTCAACAATACACTTAGTCAGAGTGAAAGAGAGGCAGGCCCCCCGCTGTGCTGGGCGGGGAGGGGGAGGGAGGGATCTTATGGTTCCATGGACTTCATATTCTGGGTAGCTTATCTATAGGGAGGGCAGGTGGGCTCAGTCCCCAAACCCAGGAGTGTATTGGTCTCAGTTCCCCAGGGACCCATAGGTGAGAAAAGCTGTTGCCAAGAGCTTTGGCAACTTCCTGGAACCCAGGGCCAAAGCCAGACATAGGCTAGAGATTAAAGCAGGAGTCCCTTAGATTTCAGGACCTGGGGGTCTTTGAGCCTGACTGTGTGACCCATCTCTGGCAGTCCTACTGAAGGTCTCCATACCCTGAGGCCACACCTTAACCTACCATCACCCAGATCCAATCTTCCTGCCTCTCAGGTTGATGCCCTTGCCTGCCTCGAATCCACACTGGATTGAGGTTACCTTGGGCCCTCATCCTGGATTCTCCTCTCCCAGCCGTCCCTCTGGCACCGTGTGCCACTCACTGGTGCCATCATGACTTAGTGCTTCTGGGGGCTGTGCCTGGACCAAGCCTTTAAACCTCTGCCTTTGAGGCTTGCTGCCTCTTCCCCAGCAGCAAGCACTACGAGTGCCAGCAAGAACTTACTCATGTTTCCAATGAAAAAAGAGAACCAAAAAGCCCACAGACCTGCCTGAGGCCCTCGCCAGTAAGTGAGCTTGCTGGGACTTGTGGCCAGGTCACTAAGCCCCTAACTATGGAGGCCTGAGGTGTAGTTGAAGAAACTGAAGCAGGCTTGTCTCAAGCTCTCTATGTAGCCAAGAATAACCCTGAGCTCTTTTACTTTTCGGCGTCCACTTCCCAAAGAATCAAATTCCATCCCTCATGCATACTAGACAAGCCAAGCGAGCTGTGTCTTCAGCCCCTCTGTAGTACTGAGTTTTATTTTTTGTATGTTTTTATAAAACATTTGTTCCTAGCTAAGCAGTGATGGTTGCATGCCTTTAATCCCAGGACTCAGGAGGCAGAGGAGACTCTGAGTTCGAGGCCAGCATGGTCTATAGAGTGAGTTCCACGACAGCCAGGACCTTTTATGTATATGAGTGTTCTATCTGCATGCATCCCTACATGCCAGAAGAGGGCATCAGATCCCAGTATAGATGGTTGTGAGCCGCCATGTAGTTGCTGGGAATTGAACTCAGGACCTCTGAAAGAGCAAACTGTGCTTTTAACCGCTGAGCCATCTCTCCAGCCCTTGTTGTTGGTGTTTTGTTTTGTTGTTGTTTTTGACTAGGGTTTCATGTAGCTTTGGTTCATATGGAATTTGCTAGAACTCACAGTAATCCTCTTGCCTCTGTCTCTCTACAGCTGGGATTACAGGCATGGCTCATGTCAGGCTGATTACTGTGTTTAGAGAGATTCCCCAGGCCCATGGTCCTACTTAGTCCCTAGGGAAACACAAATAACATAGAAACTCCCACCCCAGGCTCAGGGAAAAGCCCTGGGCTCACCAGATCTGAATCTAAGAAGCTGAGCCCAGGACTTGGACAGAGCATCATGGTGGAGACCAGGAGGAATGATAGGACTGAGACCTGAGAGATCGCTCTTCATGCTCCTTGGGCTCTTCTCTTCCTCCTGGTCCTGAGTCTGCAGCTCACAAGTGTTGCTTCCTCCCAAGGACTGTCTGTTTCTCCCCCACCCTCAGGCTGCCAGGTTCTCATGCTCCTGGAACGGGGAGTCTGAAGCCGGCAGCTTCTGTGCATCTGGACCTGGACCGAGGCTTTTCCAGTGTGAAGGAGCTGGATGTACTCAGGCTAGTTCCTGTCCTCCCTGTGCCCTGGTCTTTGCTTCCTTCAGTGAGGTGAAGAACAATCCCCATGCTGTTGTTGTGTTTAAAGGAGTCAGGACAGACATCATTACTGACTGAGCCAGGGTGTGATATTCCTGGGGAACTGGAGAAGGGGTACAGCCCAGTGGAGTTACGGGTATGTCCACTATGGCTTCCTAGTTCTACTGTGATGTCTTAGTCTATGCTTCCTGATCCCAGGTGACAGATGGCCTTGGGTCCTCTGCTTACTCAGGTCCAGCTTGGCTCTCTAGCCCCTGGTGGACACACCCTTAGTCCACAGTGACCAACCTCTAGGGGGCATCATGGGCCAGGTGGGCAATCCTGCAGGAGAGGTGTGTGTCCTGCTGCCATGGTGAGTTGGCATCAGTGTTGCTAGGAGCACTTCTAGAATGTTCTGCAAAGATCTCACCCACAGAGCTCCATGCCCACAGTGTTTGGTAACATGCCTTACATTTTTGTGGGCCCTAAAGAGATTCTAGTGAGCAGGGAGTGACTGTTGGCGGTGTCATTTCTTTTTTCTTTTCTCCTGGGTATGTGTGTTCTGCATGTTCACATGTGAGTTGGTTCACTGTGTGGGGTTGCACATGTGTGCGTGAGGAGGCCTGAGATTGATGTCGGAAGCCTTTCTTCATAGCTTCCCAATTTGAGACAGAGTCTCTCAGTCAAACCCAGAGCTGGCCAAGATGAGCAGTGTCATTAGTCACCTTGTTCCAGGGAGTCCTCTCTGGAGTTATAGGAAGGTCACATGCCCACTGGCATTCTCCTGGGTCTAGAAACCTGGGTCTTGCTAGTCTTGGACAGCAAGAGCTTTAACCACCACGCATCTCCTCAGCTCTGTTGATGACTCATGGGCCCCAGCCTCCCCTGAACTTCCTGGGAACCACAAATGCTTGTATAGTAGTCTGCAAACCAGGGCTCTTTCTCCTCTCTGGTAGAAGCAGAGCCTAGAGAAACACTGATAATGCTCTAGGAGCAGAGGGTGATGCTGTCCCTCACAATCTCAGCTTGTCTTGTTGGAACAGGAGGCCTGGAGGGTCAGTACTGGTCCCTTGGCAAAGCCTCTGGGGTGGCTTACAGCTCCAGACCGACTGCTCTTCCACACACCAGTCCCAAAGGCCTCCCAGGTAGCTGCCTGACAGTGGCAAAGCACTGATGCCCACCCTAGGCCAGAGGCAGACAGCAAGGCCCGTCTTTACAGATGTCAGCTAAAGCAAGCATAGTGCTGCGTGACCATAAACCTGGCACTTAGGAGATATAAGCAGGGGGAACCCGAGTTCAAGCCACATAGAGAGTTTGAGGGCAGTTTGTCTCACATTCAACCAAACCAAACCAAACACCCAGGGCTGGAGAGATGACTTAGCACATGAAGTCCTCGCCAGCATGTGTGAGGACCAGAGTTCATATCCCAGAACCCAGTGTGCTGGGTGTGACAGCTGCCTGGAATTCCATAGCCTGAAGGTGGAGATGGTGGCTCCCCGAAGCAAGCAGTCTACTTACACTAGTTTCAAGACTTTTTATTTTTATTATGTGTATGTGTGAGCGCAGGTGCATGCAGAGGCCAGAGCTGTCAGATCCTCTGGAGCTACAGTTAACAGATGTGGGTGCCAGGAATTGAGCTTAGGCCCTCTGGAAGAGCAGCAAGTGCTCTTAATGCTGAGTCATGGCTCCAGCCCCGGACTGGTCTTATCTGTGAACTCTGGGTTCAGCTGAGAGACTGCCTCAATAAGCTGCAGAGTGACTGAGAGAGATACCGGGATTAGCCTTGGGCTTCCCATGTGCACGGATGTGGGAACAAACATACACACACGCATGTAATCACACACACAGGCAAAATTTGAAAAATGCAAGCCAACAATAACAATGACAAATCCCCACTCCTCCAGCAACTGGGAAGTTTGGGGCACTCAGCCCCCAAAAATGAGTTAAATAGACAAGGTGGGGTTGGCCTCCTGGTCCTGTGGGAGGGGACAATAAGTGGAGGTAGGCAGAGGGTAACTAGGTTTCCATCCTATAGGGCCACACTGTACAAAGCCAAGCGAAGCTGAGGGGCCACTGTGAATAACTAAAGGAGCATTGGAGTGGGCTTCCTGGAGAAAGAGGCTTCAGTTACACTGAGTGCTGAAATCAGAGAGGAAGTGAAGAAAGGGCAGGCCCCTAATGGTCCTAGGCACCAAGTCTAGGAGTGAATTTGTCACAGGGCTCCTCTGATGAGCCCAGGGGAGTCTCAGCCCCTTCCCTGTCTGCCAGTCCTGGCTGGTGACTGTCACCCCACCTGGCCCTTCTCAGCTGTCACTGTCTCTTGTGTTCCAGTTGGCGTCATGGCTGAGGTGGGCAGGAGGGCCCAAGCTGTTCTTCCCTTTGTGCCAAGGAGACACAAGAGTGTTGTCACAAAGGTCTAGTAACTCCTCTGCCTAAGGTCAGCCAAGGTGTCCGAACTGTCACCACTCAGCAGGCTCCTCTTGCGCTCCTGAGCTGTGGTTGCTGCACTGGTATCCCTCACTGTAGCCCATTGCTTCCCACTTTACCCAGGCCAGGCAGTGGAAAGTACCCCCGGGGAGGGCACTAGAGCAGGAGGGGCCTTGACTTGGGTCAGAGCTAATCTTCACTGAAGAAGCAGCAGGATCCAGGCTCAATGGCCCAGCCTTAAAGGCTGGTGAACAGCCCGTTCTCTGTCCTGTAGCTTCCTGTAAGTTCACCTGGCGAAAGGAGACATGTCCCTTATGTCTGGTTGTATCCCATAAAGATACAATGGTCACTCTTGTCACCACTGGAGTTGTCTAAGAGAGACCCTGAAAAGGCTCCAAACCACTGGAATGGGCAGGGGCTGAAGAGTGTCACAAAAGTGAGGGAAGCTCCAGCCACCTGATTCACACTGCATTGTCCTGCAGGATGGACTCATTTGGAGACAAGCTTCAGCAGCTGCGAGAGGCCTTCAAGGCAGGGCGGACGAGGCCGGCTGAGTTTCGGGCTGCACAGCTGCAAGGCCTGGGCCACTTCCTCCGAGACAACAAACAACAGCTGCAGGAGGCGCTGGCCCAAGACCTGCACAAGGTGCCATGGAACAGGGACAGTGGGGTAGGAGTGTGTGTGCCCCCAGGTCAGCGAGAGTGGTACAGCAGGGGTACGGAGCATGGTTCAGGCTCATCCTCCAGGAAGAGGAGCTGAAAGTCTAGGGGACCGCAGCTCCTTTTGTGAGACACAGCAGACTGTTTGACCCCCTGGCTGCCCTCCATCTACTCTGCAGCTGCTTATGGAAAACTTCATATGTGCTTGGTACCGGTACCAGTCTAGGGTCTGGAGAGATAGAGCAAAGCCCCTGTGTCTACAGAGCTGACCTTTGCAGGGGATGGGCTGTGCATGCTGCCTGGTAACATGTAAGGTGTACACACTCCAGTGTTAAGAGGGGCCAGCCCAAGAAGCTGGTTTGTATGTGGAGGGCAAAGAAGGCTTTTCTAAGAAGGGAGGAGTGACTCAGAACAGACAGGAAGTAGGAGAAAGAAAGCACTGCCTAGACATTGGAGGAAGTGGCTCAGCAGCATATGCAAAGGGCCTGAGGCAGAGAGCTTGGTGTGTCTGTAACTGAGAAGCTGCAGAAGCCAGAGTGGCTGGAGGGAGTAAGAAAGACAGAGAGACATGGAAGAGAAGGCCTGAGGAAGTGGGCCACACCCTGGAGGATTTGGATCTCACTTGGCACTGTAGACATCACAGCCTCTGTACACTTGTAGGCCCTGTGGTTTGCTCCCAGTCCCAGCAGTAGCCATACAAGGCCCCCAGTCCTGAGCTGGCTGTCCAAGGGATTTCCCCAAGGAGTTCCTCTTCCCTACATCCCCTGCGGTTACCTTAGAGACACTCCCCACCCCCAGTCCCAGACTCCTGGGACTGACTCCTGCAGCTTCTTACCAGCCCCATCCAGGACCCAGGAGACCCAACTTTTCCCCCTTCAGCTCAGGTTCCACCTCTGCTTTCTCATCCAATTCCAGAAACCTGGACCTTACAAAGGATGCAGCAGCCCAGAAAATTCAACCGGGTGCCTCCCTCTGATCCAGTCAGACTACTCTCACTGTCTCCTCCCTCGGCAGGCCAGGTGCCATCTGCCCAGTGCCATGGCCATTCCCTCATCCTACCCCTAACACTCCTCCTGATGGGGAGTCACAGCCAGTTAGCCCTAGAGGAGGGATCAGAGAACTCAGTTTCTTGCCCAGAGACACACAGTCAGGAAAAGCAGAGGCCAAGGAAGAGCCTTGTTCATAGAACCCTGCCCTACTGAGGTCACTGTGCCCACTGGGTGTAGACTGATTTCTAAGCCCACCCAAATCTCCGTAGGGTCCTCAGGAGCTGCCAAGCTTGCTATAAGCTGTGTGTGGCTGTAACTTGCTGGACCAGGCTCAGCTTCTAGGAAGCATGGTGGTGTTGGGTTGTACAAGATGCCCACCAAGCTTTGCATGAGTATTCCCTTATACAGTGTTGCCTGGTGCTCTGAACTGCCTCTCCAGGCCTTCATCTTCTGCTACCAGAGCACTTGGTAGTATCCCCCTGGGCTGTAGGAAATAAGAAGAGAAGACTTATGCTTTGTGCCTCATGCTCTATATCCTGTGCTGTGCAGAAGCGAGCAAGCCCTGAGCAGCCACCAGGGCCTTTGTACCTGCTGGATCTCTTTCCGCTATGTAGTCTGCCTCCAGGTGCCCAGGGCTTCCAGGAGTGGGTGAATGAACGAATGAATGAATGAAAGGATAAAGAGATGCAGGACCTACAGGAAGGAAGCTATGCCCACCCCATTCAGCCCTGACCCTCACTCCTTTCTGTAGTCAGCCTTTGAGTCAGAGGTGTCTGAGATTGCCATCAGTCAGGCTGAGGTGGACCTGGCCCTCAGGAACCTGCGATCTTGGATGAAAGATGAGAAAGTGTCCAAAAATCTGGTAAGCTGGAGGAGGGGGTGGGGTGGCAGGGGGGGGCTTTGGGAATTCCTTGTTCCCCCAGTGTGGCTCCACAGAGTCTCACTGCTCACCCCGGGCCCAGGCCACACAGCTGGACTCAGCCTTCATTCGGAAGGAGCCCTTCGGTCTGGTGCTGATCATTGTGCCCTGGAATTACCCCTTGAACCTGACACTCGTACCGCTGGTGGGGGCCATCGCTGCAGGTGAGGAGCTCTCCACCTTCCCACAGCCCTCACAAGAGAGCTCAGGACTACCTAGGAACCGGAAAGGGAAGACGGGGGGGGGCCGCGCGCCCCCCCGGGAACGGGCGCCCTGCTTCTAGGTGGCCTTCTCCATCACTTCTGATTCTTCATCTGAGGGTGGGTGTAGACACATACCCTGCATGGCTGCCCTCTTCTAGCATTCCCTCTGTGCTGGCTGCAGGGAACTGTGTGGTACTCAAGCCCTCAGAGACCAGCAAGGCCATTGAAAAGATCCTGGCTGAGGTCTTGCCCCGCTATCTGGACCAGGTAAGCAGAGGTAGTCGAGTTCCTATACTTGGCTAACAGGGCTCTTCTGAGTTGCATGGTCTTAGCTACCCCACCTTCTCTCACCCTTAGCTTCCCTTTTAGGATCTACCCCACGTAGTCTGTCCCCTCAAGTCCCATAGCTGGCCCTAGCATTGCTTTTTCTCTTGGTCTAGTATTCAGCCATCCCCTGCCCCAGAAAGTTCTCAGGAAGGATTGTCCATGCTGGGGTGAAGCAGAGAGGGTGGGAGGCAGGCAGGGTGGACCACCCCTGGACTCAGAAGCTGTGTCTGAGGACCTCTGCCTGCTCCCACAGAGCTGCTTTGCTGTGGTGCTGGGTGGGCCTCAGGAGACCGGGCAGTTGCTGGAACACAAGTTCGACTACATCTTCTTCACAGGTAAGGCTCCGGGTGGCTCCAGCCTCCACAGCCTTAGAGAGAAGAGCATAATCCCATGTCCGCACACACCAGCTACCTCCCTAACCTCAGCCTCCCTAGTAAAAGTCTGCCCATGTTCAGCATCTATTGCACCAGGCCCTGACAGCAGACCCCCCATGGCCTCCCTTCAGCTTTAACAGGTGAGAGGCTGGCTCAGGATGCTGAAGGGCAGTGCTGTCTGATCCAGGATTGCCCTGTTGGCCAGGATAGAATTTGTACCCAAGCTCTTAGAGAGAGTAGCTCCCAGAGGTCACCTGCCATCATGCTAGCTTGTCCCAGGTCCCAGATGTCTGCTTCGAGGGACCAAGATGAAGCTTCTGGATGATATAAAAGGTGGGGCAGGTAGTGGGTAGTGTATCCAAGGCCTGAGCTGGCTGGTTTCTGACTTGTATGTCATTAGAGCAGGGGAGAAGTGGGTATTAGAATTTTCTCTTGACTTTGCCTCAAGCCTAGGAAAAGGCCAGCTGGGCACAGGGAAGGCTGCTGGAGCAAAGGCAGATTGGTCTTCCCTGTGGGGAAAGTCATTGGTACAGTCTCATAAGTAGGCAAGGCAGGAGGCAGGGTGTGTCATCAAAGTCACCTCCACACCCTCAGCCCTAGTGGCCCTTAGGTTTGGGTCCCTGGGGCCAGATACAGAGGCAAGGAAAAGCCCCAGGACAGTCTCCAAGTCAGGTCCTAGCAAACCAGACTGGGATCTTGATGCAGAATCCCATGACTAATCCAGCCGGTTTGCTCATCTGTAAAACTAAGGATATCCAAAGCCAAGGTCTGCCTAGAATAAAAAGGGTTTTATCCAGCATATAGTCCCTAGGAAGTGTTCGCTGAACCGCTTCCTCCCTCAGGCAGGGGATCTCTGTTGAGTACATAGATGGTAGGTCGTGTCCAAGGCTGTCTGTTCTGGAATCTTCTGTCTGTGTTCGAGGCGCTGGGACTCAAGCTCAAAACTTCATGCATGCCTAGTAAGTGCTCTCCACTGAGCTCAACTCTCAGCCTGAGGTGGAGCTGCTGCTCTTTTTTGGGGTTGGCTTGTTTTCCTCTCTCCCCCTCCAACAAGGTCTCAAGTATCCCCCACTGGCCTCAAATCACCACAGAGCTGAGGGTGACCTTGTACTCTGGATACTCTTACCTGTGAGTGCAGGGGTTCCAGGAGCACACCTCCATGGGTGCCTCAGCCACTGTTAGAGATAGGTTCTCACACTGTAGTCCAGACTGGCATTGAACTTGAAGTAATCTTCTACCTCAGCTTCCAGAGCACTGAGTTCACAGGCAAGTGTCCCTATCCCCAAAGTGCCTCTGTGGGGTGTGAACTGAGGAGAGCAGAGAGTAAACAAAGAATGGAGGAATTACGTGGCAGGGAAGGGCTAGGACAGGCTGGAGGATGAGCGGATGGGGGAAGGAGTGGAGGACTTGGGGAGTAGCCTATAGAGCAGAAACTCAGGGAAGACAGAGACTATGAGACAGAGAGGAGAGTCCTGAGCATCAGTCAGGCTAAACTGGCTCTGGCCTTAGAGGACAAGGCAAACGATAGCAGAGGTTTCAGAAGATGGAAAGGTGGTTAGTCCTGTGGTGGGCTGGAGAGTAAGCTTCAGGGTGGAACAGGGACAGAAGGAGATACAGGTAGGAGCAGAGAGGCTTCACTTAGGAGGGAGTCATGGAGTCCAAATTACTGCTGGGAGTGCAGAATAAACTCCTTTGGAGTCCCTGTGCAGGGACCCAGGTGAGGCCATACACCTAGCCAATTGACTTGTGAGTTACTCTAGGACCTTTCCATGTACCCAGGGAACGCTTATGTAGGCAAGATTGTCATGGCTGCTGCTGCCAAACACCTGACACCTGTCACCCTGGAGCTGGGGGGTAAGAACCCCTGCTATGTGGATGACAACTGTGACCCCCAGACAGTGGCCAACCGTGTGGCCTGGTTCCGCTACTTCAACGCCGGCCAGACCTGTGTGGCCCCCGATTACGTCCTGTGTAGCCAGGAGATGCAGGAGCGGTTGGTGCCTGCCCTGCAGAATGCCATCACGCGTTTCTATGGAGACAACCCACAGACCTCCCCCAACCTGGGCAGAATCATCAACCAGAAGCATTTCAAGCGGCTCCAGGGATTGCTGGGCTGTGGCCGTGTGGTCATCGGGGGCCAGAGCGATGAGGGAGAATGCTACATTGGTGAGTCTCCCTGTAACCTAGGCTGTGACCTTCCCAAGCCAAAGGAGCCCATGCTGGACTGCAGGTCTCAGCCTATGTTTAAATCCTCTCTATAGCTCTGGAAGCTGGCCTGAGCACACAGCTCCAGGTACCCAGTGCCACAGCGCCTCATCAATGTGGGTCCTCAAAAGAACCCAGGACCCAGTGAGCTGTGACCTCACTCTAGAGGTTCAGAGTGTGGCTTAAACTTCTGTTCTAGCTCTTGCTGTTCTGTGAGACTCCAGACCCCAAGCCTGAGGTCCCAGGAAATCCTATCCTGGACTTACTTGTACACAGGCTCTGTCCTTATTGGAGTCCCTCTTTCTGGACATGGTCTTGCCTATGGGTGAGGCTGGGTTGCTTCTTGTATTGCAGCTCCCACAGTGTTAGTGGACGTGCAGGAGACAGAGCCCGTGATGCAGGAGGAGATCTTTGGTCCCATCCTGCCCCTGGTGACCGTGAGGAGCCTGGATGAAGCCATTGAGTTCATCAACCGGCGGGAGAAGCCACTGGCGCTGTATGCCTTCTCCAAGAGAAGCCAGGTGGGACCAAGTACCAGTGGGCTGTGGGAGGGGTAGCAACAAGGGGCACAGCCCCTCTGTGTAGTTACAGGGCTTTAGGCATGGTGGCCTCCTGGCTTTGTCCCTGTCCTCCCTCCCAAAAGTCAAACCTTCTTCAGGGCAAACTATCCTGGATGCCATCACACTGGGCCAAACAAGTTTTTGAGACGAGGTCTCATGTATCCCAAGCACACACATGGTACACATACATGGTACACACACATGGTACACACACATGGTACACACACATGGTACACATACATGGTACACACACATGGTACACATACATGGTACACATACATGGTACACATACATAGACACAGGCAAAACACAAAAACTACAAACTAAATACATCTTAAAGATCAAAAACAAACGACAAGTCTATCAAGTAAGGGGATAGGTTAGGTAGCTGAGCCAGTAAAGATGTCACAAAGCCTGGTGGCCTGAGTGCAATCTCTAAGAATCCTGTGGGACAACAACAGACTCCCACAAAGTTTTCTTCCAAAAGATCTTCACAGGAGCTGTGACTAGTGTCTCACTAGTCTCTTTCTCACACACATAAACACGCAATAAAATATTATAAAATTAAAAACAAAAAAACCTACCCAGTAAGTTACATACCCAGCTGTCACCATTCTTAAAATGAAATACACTTTACTTATATGAAACTTTAAGTATACAAAAAGCCACAAAGGCAGTAGACTTCCTGTGTACCCCACAAGCAGTTCCCCAGGACAGACCCTGACACACTCCAGAGCCAGCAAGCATCACCACCACTGCCCCTCCATCCGTGCCACGGGTGCTGCATGGACTCAGACTCGGCCAAGGTCGCTGCAATGTCCCCAGTTTCCTGCTTCCTCACAACTCCACATCAGGGAATGGGATTTCTAGAGAGATGGCTCTGTGATCCTCCAGAGATCTTCCACACATATGTAGGAAGTTAGAGGTCACGTGAGCAAGTCCATGTCTGCTAGAAGGCTCTGCTGAGAGCTGTTCTGTTCTGTCTGGAGTGTCTGAGCATGCCTCCATGCTGACCCTGAGGGGAGGCGGTGTGCTGGAGCTCTCTCTATGGAGGGGACAACCAACATGTTACCACAGACGTGCTCTAGACCCCAGGGCAACAGTCTGTCTCCTGAGCCATTTATTCAGTTAGAACAGCCTCTCGTGTGTGCTTTCGGCTTGTATATATTTGTATATATTTGTCTGCACATGCAGAGGTTGGAAGATGACTTGCAGGAGTCAGTTCTCTCATTCTACCTTGTAGATCCTGGGCATCAATCTTAGGTCATCAGGCTTGGTGGCAAGTACCTTTATCCACTGAATACGTTGCCAGTCCGAGCTTTAAAAACAATTTTTTCTTTTACATTTATTTATTGTGTGGTGGTCAGAGGACAACTTGAGGAGTCCACTCTCTCATTCTACCATGTGTTTTGGGGATAAAGTCAGATTGTCAGGCTTGGCAGCAAGGGACTTTACACAGTGAGCCATCTCAGCAGCCCTTTTAATGAGGTGGGGTCACAAATAGCTCAGGTTAGCCTTCAACTCACTATACAGCTAAGGATTACCTTGAACTCCTGGCCCTTGCACCTTCACTGGTGTCATTACAGGGGCATGCCACCCACCATATCCAACACTGTGTCTGACTATGCAAGCCTCCAGGCTCTCCTGGCTCTGCCCTGTGGCACTTCCTCTCATTCTACGTGAAAGTCTCTGTGGGGACCATGTCAGAGTCACCTTCAAACTCAGCCATTCCTCTGTGGAACCTTTAGAAAACACAACACAGTGCTTTCAGCAGAGATGGCCAGCTGCCCCTCAGTCTCCTGAACCCAGCACTGGTGTGAGACCAGGCTGTCTTCTAGCTTGCTAATGTGACTGTTGCTCTGGGCAGCCTCAGGCTGAGGCAATGCTGATACCTGGTAGGATCCACTTCACCAAACAGAACTGAGTTGTCGTCAGAGGGCACTAAGTAGGGCAAACCCATCTCCTTCCCCTTCAGCATTTGAGGGAACTTCGGACTGGAGAAAACTGTCCAGAAAGTCAGACAAGGCTGAGCTCAGGCTGCTAAGCCCAAGCCCGACCTTAGCAACCCAAACTCACCCCACAGCCCTTCCTTCTCTTCCCCTTTTCTCTGAAAGAACTGTCTCATTTAGAGTAAGACTGAGTAGCTACCCCACCCCGTCCCTGGGAATCCTCCACGACACCTGTGTCCCTACTCTGCCTGTCTGAGTAGATGATGCTAGGTCCCATGACTTATTCTTGGGCTTGTGTCTCAACACCCTACTAGGCAAATACATAGAGAGTATGTCCCCAGGGTGGAGGCTGTGAGTCTGTCCCTTAGGCCCATCTTGGACCTCAGTCCCTCACTGAAACAAGGTCTATTCTAGTGTGCTGTACAAGTTCCTCTTTCTCTCCCAGATCGTCAAACAGGTGTTGGCCCGGACCAGCAGCGGGGGCTTCTGTGGGAATGACGGCTTCATGCACATGACCCTGTCCAGCCTTCCTTTTGGAGGAGTGGGTAGGTAGCAGCAGAGCTCTGTCCTCCTGGGCTGATCCCCACCTGCATCCCCATCCTGCTACTTCACCACATTAACTGTAGAGGATGCGCTCCACCCTCAGTGCCCAGTGAATCGGGCAGGAGTGGAAGCCCCTCTCCACTGACAGTGTCCACCTAGCCTGACTCTCTCCCACCTCCCTACAGTCTGTGGTGGAACTTTCCAGATATGCTTGCACTAACCATGTGGGTGGGAAGCCAGGGAGAGATCATTTTGCTGGGTTTATAAAAACATACCAGTTGCCTCCACCCACTAAGTTCTTCATCTCCCCCCAGTCCTGGCTTTCAACTCCATGGCAGGGCCAAATGATACTGCTTCAGCCTTCCCAAGTCCCTGCAAACCCAGCTCTGAGTATCTCTGTTTCCAGGAGGCCAGGGATGTGGAGCTGCCCCACCCCCCACCCCCCAACTTCAAACCTCACAGCTGTATCCAGCAAGCCCACAGGCATGTGACCAGAGCGGCCACTTCTCCTTTAGGCCTACTTCCTCACTGAAAGTGTCCTAGTCCTTCCACCCAGTCAGAGAGTATCGGAGCAAGTGACAGCATTGCCTGGCCAGTCCTGGTCTTGCCCAGGAGTCCTGCTCCCATTTCCCCCTTCGTCTGTTGTGGCAGCTACTGAACTGACCCTCATGTTACCCCACACCTCCTACGCTCTGTCTGGCCGACTCCACACTCCTGGCTTCACTCAGTTTAAACAAGCCGGCTTCATTACCCAACTCCATGCAGGCCATGTCCCCTGGACGTTCTGGGTTGAGTCCTTGTCCCTTCCGAGACAGTAAGAGCTACACGGGTTTGGAGATATCTGCCACAAACCTAGAAGGAAGTGTCACTCTCACAGAGCCTGAGGCAGCCACTTGCCCAGAGTGACATTCGTGTTCAGCACAGGGCTGAGATTCAACATTGGGCAGCCTGGCTCCAGAATTCATGCCCATGGCCTCAGTTTGTCTGTCCCTCAGGACACCTGGTAAACTGGTTGGGGCAAGCTCAGTGCTCATCCATAATGCCTTGTGATTAGCCAACTGAACAGAGAAACAGAGGCTAAGACAGCCTACCTGTCAGAGCCAAGTCTATGGGATGTCCCCTCAGTTGGCCCTTAAAGACCTAAAGACCCATGTTCTGTGCTGCCACAGGAACCAGCGGGATGGGCAGGTACCACGGCAAGTTCTCCTTTGACACATTCTCCAACCAGCGTGCCTGCCTGCTGCGCAGCCCGGGAATGGAGAAGATCAACGACTTGCGCTACCCGCCCTATTCCAGTCGCAACCTCAGGGTGTTGCTGGTGGCCATGGAGGAGAGGTGCTGCAGCTGCACGCTGCTGTGAGCAGGGATGCTGGGGCACAGGGGCCTGCCTGGGGCACAGCTGCGGAGAAGTGGCCTGCCAGGGCCAGGCCACGGAGCAGTCCGCTCAGCCTTGGAGCAGCCCTCCACCTCCTGGGGCTCCCCTTTTTGTACCTTTGAATGAGATAGTCTGAGGGTAGGAATGTAGGAAGGGATGCAGTGACCTGCCAGTTCCCTCCAGTGCTAGCCATAGAATCTTCGAGAAAAAGGGCACTTCTGAGCTACCCACCTTCCTGTGTTGCAAGGGAGCAGTGATATGTGGCACAGGTCATACTCTGTGACCAGGCATGTCTGGGTCTTCTGAACCTCAGTTTTCTATCTGTACAATGGAGATAAATAAACAAAACTGCCTATGGTCGCTGAAGTGTTAAATTAGGAGGGCTGACTCAAAGCTACAGGTGTCTTGTCTTTTTTGGAGTGGAGATGCTGCCTCCATGGTAAGATTAAGATCCTCCCCCAGCTACTCCTCACCCCTCAGCTCCCCCAGCTACTCCTCACCTCACATGGTATCTCCGTCTTGTCCCATGCTGACCCTTCCCCATTCTACTCAGCGGTGAAACATTCCACCATTCTGAGCTCCACGCTCCATGGGGTGGAGCTTCCAGCCACTCAACTGCTAAAACCCAAAATTTTGACATCCTGTCTCTACTCCTGGCCTGGTTTTTGACCAAGTCAACGTGTCCTTCCTGGCCTGCCGGATTCCTCACCGCCAGCTTAGAAACTGCTTTCTAAAGGAAGCCTTCCCTGATCACTCCATACAAGGCATGTAGATTGCTAGGGACCCTCATGGTTCCCTAGTCCCAGGAGCAGACTTGACAAAAGTCCTGCTACCCACGACCGTTACAAGGGCCAGAAGAAGCCGAGTGGTTAAAGCGCTTACGAGCAGTCGCCATCTTTGCAGTATTCAAATGAGCCCTATCCCTCCCCACTCCCGGGACTGTACCAGCGTCCCAAACCCAGCTCAGGAAGTCCCGCCTTCAGCATCTCGGAAGTCAGGCGTATTAACCTCTCGGATACAATATGGCAGCTCCCTACAAAACTTCAAGCATCTGCTTCCATCAGCCAATTAGAGAAAAACACAGTCCTAGGCCCGCCTCCTGCAGCACCACAGGCCAATCAGACCAAAGGAAGAAAGGGCACTATGGAAAAAGGCGTGAGAAGCTCGCCCAATGGCAGCATCCTGAACTTAGGCTCCGCCTTCCGGTTGACCTGCACCTGGGCCAGGGAAGGAGCCGCCGCACTTCAAGGTGGGTGTCCAGGGCAAGGCGGCGAAGACAGGGTCTGGGTGACGCAACGACAGAGTTGAATGAGGTGTCACCGCTGACCTCGTGAAATCTGGGATCTAGCGGGTCGGCTCGGGGCCCGCGGCTTTTCCGTCCTTCCGTGATCTGCGGGCCCAGACGCCCGCACCCTCAGGCGCATGCGCTGCCTCGCCGGATGCCTTCTGCGTTCGTAGGGTCAGAGGTCAAGGGGAAGGTCTGAGAGAAAGTGGTAGGTTGGGATCCAGGATTGACTGAGGTCAAGAATTGGCGGACACGCTACAGGTCAAAGGTCACAAGAGGGCGCTAGAGCTTTGGTGATGTGCCAGGTTCTCAGTCAACATCCCCTTGGCTGCATACATCCCTAGTTCGGGACCCCTCTTCCTACATCGCAGGCCAGAAACGTGAGGTCAGGGGACGTCATTTGCCCAAGGTCACTCCGCAGGCTAGGGAGAGTTCCAAGAGGTCCTTGGGTTGGGGACAGGAACTTGATCCTGATAATTTTTTAAACCTTTAAGGATTTTCTGCATGTATCTCCTGGATTCCTGTCCTGGTTCCAATGACATTGGGTAATTTGGGGGCAATCATGATAGGGTGACAGGGTCTGTGACAGTTGGTTTGAAGCCTGGCTCCGAGTTAACTCAATACACTGGTAGTGGTCAGGGAGCTCCGTGTGAACAGAGGCTGAGGAGTGGACAGGGGAAATGGATTAAATAGGTTGCTTAGGAACTGCAGAAACAGAAGGAACTTGGGGTGCCCCGGAACTGTGGGTCAGCAGAGTGAGGTCAGATTGAGGGTTAGGGGTGCTGGTCTTGACTGGGATGGTGTCTGAATGGGGTGTAAGATAGATTCTGAGGAGGGCAGTTGCAGACCCTTCCCTTCCCTTCTGCATGTTCCAGATGTACCGTCTGAGCTCGTCCGTGCTGCCACGGGCCTTGGCCCAGGCCATGCGCACAGGTAAGACTGGAGGCCTTTCCTCGGAGTGGGGGAGCTGAGCTTCCTGGTATGAAGTCACCTCTCTCTTTGCAGGACATCTTAATGGCCAAAGCCTTCATAGCAGTGCAGTGGCGGCAACATACAGTGAGTACCAGACCTTCTGACTTGAGTTTCCCTGATCATTGTCATACCTGAGGCCAGGGAACTTGCTTTGCTAGGGACCCTCTGTGAGCTCTGGTCTCCACTCTGAAGATGAAGGTAGCGACCAAGAGAGAATGTGAATCAGTCAGTGTGGTGGCCTCAAAGGAGGGAGGCCTGTGATGGGAAAGAGCTGCTGGGTCCTGTTCCCCTTTATCAGGATTACTTACTCCCTGAACTTGGAAAGCCTTGCCTGGGTGCACTTCGAGTTACCTAGGCAGGAGAACCACCAAGGCTCCCCAGGTCTGCAGGCTGATTTTCCTGGGCTCTCACTAAGAACCCACCTGCTGCCCGTAAGGTTGAGAGTTTGGCCTCATCTTGCAGAGCCTGCTTCTGTTAACCTCCCACCCTGACCTCCTGCAGAGTATGTGAATAAGAAGGAACAGGAATCTGAGATGGACATGAAGTCCGCGACTGACAGTGCAGCACGGATTCTGATGTGGACAGAGCTCATCCGAGGTGTGTGCCAGTGGGGAGGGGAGAGGTGAGAGTCAGCCATGGCCTGTTGGGGAGGAGAGCACCTTCTTACCCAGCTCTGCTTCTCACAGGACTGGGCATGACCCTAAGTTACCTTTTTCGGGAGCCTGCCACTATCAACTACCCCTTTGAGAAGGGCCCACTGAGTCCGCGCTTCCGTGGGGAGCATGCACTGCGCCGCTACCCATCTGGGGAGGAGCGTTGCATTGCCTGCAAGCTCTGTGAGGCCATCTGTCCTGCACAGGTGAGTCTGCCTTCCAACTGCTAGGCCCCAAATCTGACCCCTACCTTGACACGCTCCCCCAGGAAAGTCCCTTCTTTTTTCTTTGGAGACAGTCTCACTATGTAGCACCAGCTGTCCTGGAACTCACTGTGTAGACTAGACTGGTCTTGAGCTCACAGATCTGTCTGCCTCTGCCTCTGGAGTACTAAGATAAAGCAAGCACTGCCACAGACACCTGACATTGTCCTTTTCTCACTTGACCTAACCCTGACCCTGTGTGTGGGACAATGAGTCCTTGATGTTCAAGTGCTGAGTCAGGAAGCTGGCCGGGGGCAGGCTCCATCCCAAGCAGGCCACATGAGGGGTTCGAGCCGAGGATATGCAACAGGAGTGCCTGCTCCTCAGAGCCTGGTGGGAGCTACACAGCATGCCCGAGGCTAGGACGGTTTGTGGAAACAGGAAGATGCAGTGATGGCTTTGCTGTGCCTAGCATGAGCTCCAGCAGCTGCAGCCATGACCTGGCCTGCCATGTTTAACTCCAGCTCCTAGCTGTGCCCTCAGGAGTGCCCCAGCAGCTCAGTGGCATCTGGCATGGCTCCTGGCTAGTGTGCACTCTGCATAGACAGGCTAGACTCATTCCTCACATCCTCCCTGTAGCTGTAAGAGTAGCCAGGAGAGATTTTATTCTCACTGTTATAAACACAAAAGGATGCGCCTTTGCTGGATGTGTGGTACATGCCTTTAATCCAGGCTAACCTGGACTACAGAGTTCCAGGACATCCAGGGCTACACAGAGAAAAACTCTGTTTTTGATAAAAAAGAAAGAAAGCAAGAAAAATGTACCTCCTGAGGCTCTGCTGTGAGTATCAAACTTGCCACTTGAGGTTGTCAAATTCCTTAAAGGGATAGTCTGTAGTTCCCAGGCTATCCCTTCTTACCCTTGGCTGGCATACAGCTGTCCCCCAGAAACTGATAGTTAAGGATATGTACCTTCAAGTGTGGTCTGTGTCCGTCATTACTATATAAATTCAGGAAATCCTTCGATCTCTCTTGAGTCTTAAGTTTTTCCATCAAATGGGGATTGTGAAGAAAGTTGTTCCGCATGACAGTCATTGGGCACTTCCTGTCCAGGAGACCTCTCAGGGCCACACCTTTTCAGGGAGCAAAGCAGATCATAGCCTTTTCCTTGTGGAACAGGAGGGTCACCTGGGCAAATGCTGAGCAAAACCTTGCAAAGACTAACAGGGCCACGTGAGTGGTGGCTCCTTTGGAGGGCTGAGGAAATGAGACATCCATGCAGACCTCCAGGGATCAGACTGAGCTGTGATGGGCAGACCCAGGGCCAGGAGGGGTCTGCTAGTATGACAGTGACCTGTGGCCACTCCCTCAGGCCATCACTATTGAGGCTGAGCCAAGAGCCGATGGCAGCCGCCGGACGACACGCTATGACATTGACATGACCAAGTGTATCTACTGTGGTTTCTGCCAGGAAGCCTGCCCTGTTGACGCCATTGTGGAGGTGAGTGGGCTGGGTGACGTGATAGCACAGAGGCTCCTGGGAAGGGTTTGTCCTGCTGACTCTCCACCTTCACACAGGGCCCCAACTTTGAGTTCTCCACTGAGACGCACGAGGAGCTGCTGTACAACAAGGAGAAGCTACTCAACAATGGAGACAAGTGGGAGGCCGAGATCGCCGCCAACATCCAGGCTGACTACCTGTACCGGTGACCAGGCCGCTGCTGACCTTGGCCACCTGGCTCAGCCTTGTGGCCCCTGTGGCCCATAAAGAAACTATGATCCCACAACTGCCTGTCTTGTTGTTCCATTTCTAGGGCAGAATCTACCCCAGGCAGCCAGGGGCCTGACTTGCTCCGCCCAGACCAGGTGTACATGGCCTGCTCTGTCGGTCCCTCAGTGGGTCCCAGCAGCTCACCTGCCCACAAAATCTAGCAAATGCAGAGCCCAGCCATCCTCTACGCCTCACAGGCCTCACAGGCCTCTTTGTGGTTGGTAACAGGACGCAGAACCATGACCCACATCTGGGCTTCTTCCCACAGCCTGCCGATGCAGGTCACGGGCCTGTTGTCCCCATTGGTGTTGGGTGTCTGCGAGGTGAGGTCCCGCTCTTCTGTCTTCTCAGACCTCCATCACTACAGTTGTTTGGACTTAGATCCTTTGCAGGCTTCAGGCCAGAGTCCATCAAGAGTCTCAGGAGGGGGCTGAGTAGGTAATTGTTCTTATCCTGAGATTGCACATAAAAGCTCAATACGACCACATGTCTGTTA